TGAAGCACGAGACCACCAGCCAAAAGGTCTGCAGTTCAAACCCGCCCCGAGGCACCTCGGAAGAGAGACCTGGCGCCCTGCTTGTGAAAGGTGGAGTCATGAGACGCACGATGGCGCATGCGATGGCGCATGCGATGGCGCATGCCCTGCGTTGCTCACCGTGAGTCAGACGGACAACGGTACCATGGACTACAGGGGTGGGGGGAGAATGAGGTCCACTGCAGATACTTCTAAGGCCAGGGAATTGGATGGAACCGCTCCCTGACCTGCTCGACTGAGTGTCTGGGTTGCTTTGAAAGAAGAGAGCCGGGAGAAGGAGTGGCAGGGTCGGCTTTGGTGTGAGCAGGCTCACGGAGCGAGGATGGAGGACAGAGGTCCACACCGCCTGTCATGATGTCGTGCTGGTCTGTGGAGCCCCTGACACCGGGTGAAGAAAAGCATGCTTCACCCAGGACACCATCTCACCTGAACACTTGAGGGGTGGTCTTCAGTCTACACTCCCCTCACATGGCCCAGGTCCTGAGGAACGGGGAAAATCTGAGCAACACTGACCCAAGGAGACGAAGAAGACACCCCCCCCAAATGCAGGATGCTCCTTGAACTGGGTCCTGGAGCTGCAAAACGACTCACAGAGAAACCCTGGAGCCCCGGCAGCCTGGAGTGACTCCGTGCTGAGGCGCCCTGTCTCGCTGACAAGTCCCGGGGGCAGTCGCTCACGGGAGAGGGCTCCACGGGCAGGGGCAACTGTGCGAGGCACCGAGGCACATACGGGAACGCTCTGTGTTCCCTGTGCAACTGCTCTGTCTTCTGAAATGATCCCCAAATGAACGGCGGTTCTCAAAAAGCCACCGGGATGCTGGCATGCTAGTTAGCTCCCAAGACTGGTTTTGTTGGCAACCATTTCTACTTCTTTGCCCAACAAAGACCAGACCGCAGCTAACACATGCCACAACTGGGCCCCTCCCTGCCCATGCTGCCTCCTCCGCCATGTGTCGGGCATCATCAAGCAGTGCCCACATCGGGCACCAGTCCTGGCACAGGTCACCAGCTGGACGGCGGGGAGGGGAGGATAGATGGAGATGGGTACAGGTACAGATCAGGTGTGTGGTGGTGGGTGGGTGCCATTGTGTTGATTTAGACGCCGTGAGGGACCCGTGTGACTGACGGAACTGTACCTAAGGCTTTCGTGCCTACGGTCCTGCCTTCCAGGGGGCCCCGGGGTGTGTTCGAACCACCAACCTTGCAGTAAACAGAACCGATCTCCATGGCTTTTGCTCCTGCTATTAGGTGCCTTCAAATAGGTGCTGTCTCACAGGGACCCGTGGACAACAGAAAAAACACAGCCC